TTGATGTGATGTATTACATTGATTAGCGTGTGTTGAACCACCCTTGTGTCCCTGGGATGAACCCCACTTGGTCGTGATGTATAATCTTTTTTATGTGTTGTTGGATTCTATTTGCTAATATTTTGGTGAGGATTTTGGCGTCTATGTTCATCAGTGATATTGGCCTATAATTCTCTTTTTTTGTAGTGTCTTTGCCTGGTTTTGGTATCAGGGTGATGGTGGCTTCATAGAGTGAGTTTGGGAGTATTCCCTCCTTTTCAGTCGTCTGGAAGAGTTTGAGAAGGACTGGTATGAGTTCTTCTTTGTATGTTTGGTAGAATTCCCCGGTGAAGCCACCATTGATGTCTTAATTGTAAATGTTGTCATTCTTAGCCTTTGCCTTGCCAAGTTCCTCCTACTTTGTTGTCCGTAGATCAGAGCCTTTCACTCTTAGAGACCCTAGATGAGCTGTTCACTTTCCTCATCTTATTGTAAAGTACGTTCCGTGACCCCCAGGGATTGATGACAGAAAGTACTGGTGCAAATGTAATTAATTCCTATTAGTTGCAGTAAATTATTTAGGGATAACCCCCCAGTTATCTGACATTTTTAGACACACACACACACACACACACACACACACTCTCTCTCTCTCTCTCTCTCTCTCTCTTTTTGGAATTTCGCAGCACCTCTGCATAGCTATTTACAACCCTCACAGTATCTGTGGAGAGGGAAAGTCTTTGCACTGAGGGTCAGAGGCAGAGAAAGGACAGGCACCGTCCATGTTCATGGCACAAGAGGGCCCCAATCCTTTCTCTTTTTAAAATTCTGTCAGTCACAGCTCCATCTCTGCGCGTGACAGTTCCCTTCAGTGGCTGGTATATGGAAATGTCCTCCAATTAGAGCAAAGACATGTTCTCAAGACACATCTGTGTGAAAACATGTCCCCAAGAGAAACAATGCTAAAAATACTCGTTGGGTCTGAGTCTCTGCTGTGGCATCCCATCTGCCCAGCAGCCCCCTGGACCCTACAGTGTAGCCCGAGTGGAAAGCATGTGGCAGAAGTTGAGTTTTCTTGTAGCCCTCCAGCCTAACCTCTGGCGGGGGACCCACCGTTGCCCCGCTCTTCGCAGGAGAGGGCGGAAGAGTGAAGGGTGGAGGACCCGCAGGTGGGCCACAGGCCATGCAGTTGTGGGGAGCAGCCGAGGACATGGGAGCGTCCGGGGCGGGGGGTGTTCGGGCTGACGCCTCTGTGACGACGGGGCTCAGGCAGCAGGGTGGCCTCGGTAGCTGTGCTCGGGAGCGCCGTGCTCAGGAGGGTAAGGGTCAAAGCCAGGGCAGGACCAGGAGGGCTCCGCCTATGTCGTCACCTCTGCTTACTCTTAATTTGAAAATCAGAGGGATCATTTACCCCGCAGACAAAGCCAGGGCTCTCCCGCCATTCCTAGTCAGGGTCCCGCCCACAGGACGGGACCAAGCCCACGGCAGAAACTAAGGGCATTTCTAATGAATAGATGTATACATAAATAAATAGGCGAATTTACGCAGAGATAAGCCAGGTTTTCTAGGTAACACTTTATCCCTCATGTTCACGGGCCAGCATGCTTCTGATTCACCCAAGGAGATGCCCTGGGTGCACCATGTGTCAGCCCGGGGGACACAGTAACCTCTCCCACCTCCTCTTGGACACAGGAGCCTCCAATGGCCTGAAAACACAGGAATGGGGGCAAAAGCTTACTAGCCCGACGCATACCTTCCATTTTACGGATCTGTTCTGGGTGGGATGGTGATTTAAAATCAGACTGTTGGTAGCAGATGCCACCAAAACCATCAGTAGTGGTTTTAAATGCGATGAAAGAATTCTGAAGCACTGACTGTCGGACCATAAACAATTCTGTCAGGAGGAAGTTCTACCTGGTACTGAGCGGCCCTCAGCTCCCATTCAGACAGACAGGGAGCGAGCTTGTGCAGGCTCCCTGGGATCAGAGGGAGCTGTTAATTTTCCTTTTCAGATGGAAAAAAAATGGGTGTGTATGTCTTTTTCAGGCAGAAAAGGAATCTAGTCCCCTGGGCAGGTTTAAAGATCCTTTATTAGGGAATCAGTATGTACAAACTCTAACATGAAGACAGTGAGTCACGGAGTATCTACTTACAATCGATAAGTGTCTATTTACAATACTTTTTTGTTTTTTACAAACTTTTTTTTACAAGATTACTTCTCTCTAAACATGACAGACACACACACAGAAATCAACCTTTTTTATTACATACATAAATAAATATTGACTTTAAGCGACCACTCTAAAGGACGTGTCTATAAACCGTCTGGATGAGAAGGGAGCCGTTCTGTCATCTGCACACTACAATGTAATTAAGTAAACAAGAAGTAATGACAGCTCTGCGTACAGACCTGTGGTCATTACTCTGTGAGCTGTGTGACTTGGTAAAACATTCAGAACACGGTGAGTCCATGCAAAACCACAGAGCAGAGTCGCCTTCTTCACGCGTTTATTTGTATTTTAAGTGAATTTTAAAGTACATGCAACAGGTACTTAGCCTCTGTGTTCTGGTGACAATGTGAACGTTCGCATAACAAGATTGAGAGAGATTTGCAGTCCCAGGAATGAGGACAGGACACTTGTCTCCACGGCACACGCCACTGCCGCCGCTGTAGGAAGGGGCACTAAGTGAACGCGCCGTTACCACAGGTGATGGGGATGGAGCCGTAGGACAGAACGCCCGTGCGTCCTTGTGAGGCAGACGCAAGCCCAAACTCAGCCTTCTCGTCAGCTTTTTCAGTGGAGATAAAAGGTACATGTAGGGCTTTGAAGTCGCGTGTGATAACCTCCCAGCCGTCGCTTCTCCTGCAGTTTACTTGGTTCCCCACCCAGGGCAGATTCTCATCCTTCAGTAACGATTACCCTGGACGCAGCGACTCTCCACCGGGGGCACCCTCATCCCCCGGATGGTGGGCGACGTCTGGGACCTGGTGCTGGTTACACCTGTTGTGGGGGGGCACTCCTGGCATCACCATCCTACAGTGCCCAGGACGTCCCACCACGGAGGACCACGCAGCCCCAGATCTCAGCAGTGCTGAGGGCAGAAAGCCAGCTCTGTGGTGGGTTATAGGTTCTTTCAGGTTTCTGGGGCAGAGAGGTATTTTTAAACTTTGAATTTTGTTTAACAAGCATTTCAAAACATTACCTGTCATCAACCTTACTGTCTTTAATATGTCATACTAAACCAGCGGCTGTTGTGAAGGGACACGCATTTGTTTATGGCCCCAGAGAGTCCACTTAGACCACAGGGCAGTGCAGATCAGCCCACCGCTGAGGACGGACGCTCTCAATAAACAGAACACGAAGCTGTGATGTAAACTGAGTGAGCCCCTGTGTTGGGTGACTGCATACTTCTCATAAGCTCAGTTTTTTAGAGAGTAACTACTATCACTTTGTATTTTTTTATGAGAGAAATGCATCTAATTTCAGCAAAACATATCACAGAATCAGCCACTAAAACTATGTTTTAAATAAAAAACAAACACTTTCAGCTTTTTATTAGGGCAGTCACATTTGAAAAATTCAGAAAGTTGTCATTCTGTCTTTGCTCATGTGCATATTATAGAAGATGACTGAAATTTACCAAAGAACCATTTTTATTGCCTAATTTATAGCATTTTTTCTTCCAATAAGACTAATGAAATTTAAATTACTGAACATTATAGAAAAATTAAATGCTCATAAGAGCTGCTTTAGAGTTTTCAAGGAAGGTGTAAGCTTTAGAACCTTTATCTGAACTAAAAATATATTCACTCAATGTCTATTTAAAAGAAACATCGTTAAATGTTATAAAAGTAAACTTACTTAATAATTTAATAGTATTTTGTATCTCTGCATATATGCCTGCATTTTAAACTATACAACAGTACAAAGATTTGCTGGCACAAATACCTGGATTTGTTTAGGGCAAATTAAGGTAGAGGAGACACTCGTGGCCAATAATTTGAAGTCTTCACTTTTGAAATTTTAAGAATTTGGAATTCAGGTGCTGGGAGTGGCAGTGGAATAAATGGTAGTTTCAGAGAAGATGTTTGCTCAGGCTCAGGGGTGTTTCAAATGAAGGCCGCATTTCCTGTTCTCTCCACTCAAAATACGTAACTGGCGGGACCAGGGGGTTTCCCTAACCACGGTAGGAAGGCTGTGTTCCTGAATGGTAGGCATCCTGAATGTAGCAGTAGAAATAGGTGCTCTGCGTCTTCTGTGGCCTCTGCTTTTAGACAGAGCGTGAAGCCTCACACAGCAAACTTCTGTCTTCTCTTCCACCTGCCGGGAGCGGTCAGGGCACCTGCCGGCCCTCAGGAACCTCGACAAAATGCCCGCCACCAAGTCCCGGCGCAAAAACCCAAGGAAACCGATCCTAAAAATGCCCTTGTTTGACTTGACCTGTGTAGAGCATGACACGAGGGAGCCTTCCCATTAAACTGTTGGATTCTGAAAAGTTGCTCTTTCCTCATAGAACCAGTATCAGTGGGGAAAATAGATTGTCCTCATGATCTTTAGAAGAACCGTATCTTTATCCAGCTTGGTGAGCTGTGAAAACAGTTCAAGTGATTTCTACTTCAGGCATGTGTGTGTGTGTGAGTTTGTGTGTATTTTTACAGGTACATATATGCATGTACACACACATGCATATACAGACTCACATACACATACGCCTATTTCAAAACGTGTATGTGGGTATTTTGAGGGAAAAACTGTATTAAACTAAACATTTTGGGGTTTAAGGCTGCCCCAGTATATCTTGCAATGCTATATGTTGACAACATGTTTTGACGACTAGAGTGTATGCTATAAAGGGACAGTTCAGAGCCTGAGAACATTTTTTCAAATAAGAGATAATAGATTTGAAAGAGTAAAGAGTAAAGAAAGGTTAATCAAAGGTAAACAGCTGTCATTCTGTACCCATCAAAGCCCCTCTGCCTTTCTTTACTGCACGGAGATTTTTATTTCTGCCACACCAATAGCTTGCTTTGATTAAGAAAAAGCAAGTCGCAGTAAAGATTAGGAAATATGCGATAGTTGGGATTCTTTCCTTTCAAGCAAGAGGTTTTGTCAAGTTTTCGATCCATGAAAGTGACAAAGTACACCAGCAGCTGATTTCCACACTAAGGGAAAAATAAACAATGTATCAGGGAAATCTCCCGTACTGTAGGATGAAACATTTAAAAGTATCCCCAGAAAAGCATTTTAATTTCTCCAAGGCAGAGCCTGGGTAGCAGCATAGAGCACTGACTGACACCCTCCTGTCGTGGATGTGTTTGTTCTGCTCATCCTCGTTTTCAGAACTCTTACTTGCCTTCGTACAAAATGGAGCTTTGGTGCTTGAAGTGGGTGCTCGTTAAGTTGTAATTAACTGGTATATGGCAGGTCACAAATTTTCAGTTACAAAAGAAATCACACGTGATAAAAAGCATCTCAAGAAATATCTGAGTAAGTCGGCCCTAAAACTGTCTAAGCTTAGTGGGGTTTTCCAATCAAATCAATAACTGAACTTCAGAACGTTGGCTGGTACCTTTCTGCCTCGGACGTGCGGAAACTGCGCTGCGCCGGAGTGTTTTGCGAAGTCGCGGCTCCCAGGTCAGGGACGTGTCAGGCCTGCAGGGCTGCGCTTGGGTTGGCCAGGCCACACTGGGAGGCAGGATGAGGCCTGGTCTCCCCACCCCCGGGGGCTGGCTGGGTGTCCGTCGCTGGCTTCCAGGTGCGTCCAGGGCCGGCGGAAGGCGGGGGCACGGCGGGTGGACGGGAGCGTGAGGTCCCTGCAAGCACCTCCCGCTCCCGCCGGGAGGCGGGCTAGTCCTGGACGTCCCGCTAGCGCGCAGGTCCGCGCGGTTCAGGCTCCCCGGGGAGCAGCTCAGAATCTTCCTGGAGAAGGCCTGTAATGCTGGGGATGACGGTGTTTAAGGTGGGGCCCTAGGAAGTGACGGGACAGCGGTGTCACCATGCTGAGCAAACGAAACAGCAGGCGGCATCAGACGCCGCCTGCCTCCACGTCCGTGCGGTCCTTCCCGTGCTGACTCTGAACTTGCGCACGTTCCTTCCCTCCGCCTCTCCTCTTCCCCTCCCCGTCTCGTCTGTTCCCTCCCCCAAACCATAAAACCACAAGAGAAAGGCGGCAGGCTCCTTTAAGTTCCCAGTTACGTAAGCAAGCCAAAATCCTCTGCAGTTCCTCAAAGAAAGTTTAAAAATTAGCATACGCTTTTATTACCCAGAATTTCAGTGGGGGAACATCGGGACAGCATTCAGCCAGTCCTTACAAACAAGGGGCCACGAATCTCTCCCTTCGTGGTTTTATGTGTCCTTAAGTTGTAAGTGTAAAAAGCCACGGCGGCAAATGTGAGCCATCAACAGACGTAAAGCTAGGGTGACGTCTCAATTTTATTAACACACAGCCCTTTGCCATGGCTTTTTGTTAGGTTTTAAGCTGGGAAAAAAATTATGTACTTTGTTAATTTAAAAACCAAGAAGAGGCTCACTGTTTTGAAAAGAATAGGTGACAGTTGTTTGTAATCTAGTTGATTTAGCAGTAAGTCAAGTAGAGTGATTTGGGTCAGAGTCTTAATGTAGTAAGAACATAAGCTCCTTAGCAAAAATATGATTTCCTATATTGTTCTATTTGAAAATCCTAATTTAAAAGAAAAATTCAGATTACTATGAGAGTGTAGGTTTTTCTGCCCCCATCTGTATTTATGATTAAAAGACAAGGAAGAGCATGCATGATGTGGGAAAAAAACGGAAGTGTGGAAAGGAAGTAGAGGGGGGAGAGGGCAGGGCACCAGGAACAGCTCAGGCTCCAGGGAGGTGGACTAACCTCCAGGAAGCAGGCCCACTTGGGAGAGAGGAGCTCAGACACAGTCCTCACTTCGTAGGAACCTGCACTGAAGTACCTATTCTGGCTTTTCACCAGGACCGGCCAGGTGCAGGGGGCGGGGCTAGAGCGGGGTGAGGGTGGAGCCAGAGCAGGGGCGGGGCTAGAGGGGGCGGGGTGGGGCCAGGGCACGGCAGGGCGGTACTCACGGTGCGCAGCCGCCGGAGGCGGGAGGTCCGGGGTGCGGAAGGTCTTGATGGTGGTGGGGCCCTCCCCGCCCGCGGTCAGCACCTGCACCTCCAGGCGGTAGAGGGTGGCCGGCCTCAGGTTGGGGACTGTCAGGACGTAATGATCCTGGGGGCGGGGCAGAAGGGGAGACCCTCATCAGAGACCTTTGGAAAACCACACACACAAGGGCCTCTTGTTCCGTGACCCTCTCCCTCTGTCCCGTCAGCGCAGGACGGGTTGCTTTTTCCGCCGCTGCATAATTGGGGGAATGTGTGTCCCGTGGGCCAGGATCCTGCCCGGCTGTGTCAGCGCCCGGCAGCAAAGGCCCTGGGCAGAGTTAAAACGTGCCAAGTGGCCGGTTCTCAGGGCTCACCCTGCAGACTGCATTTTTTATTCCTCAGCGTAAGACTTTCCCAGGGTTTCAAGTTTTCCTCTGCACATCTTGTGATGTGAATTGTTGATCATCCAAATCTCAGTGAACAAGCCAACTGCGTTCCTT